TTTGAGTTTCCCGGTCAGGAAAGAAGTAATTAATAATATAGAATTACATTCTGATATTCTCTTCTTGGACTGTTCTGGTAAGTCAGTGAGATAGTTGAGCAGCATTTATGTATGAGATGTGTAACAAAACAAACTGTAACAAAACCACTACAACAAAAACTATATTTAAAAAACAAAGCATGATGTAGGTAGCAGAAAGATGAGTAGATCTATTTTATGGGAATAGAGTTTTCTAAAACTTACTTTTTATACCTGATTTAAGTAAATTTCTCAAATATTTTATTCATTCGTTCAGTCAGTCATTGAAGTGGCATATCCTTTGAGATGAAACATTTCAGAGTTGATTAGTTTTTTTAAAATCTAATGGCCTAAAAAATAAGGGATGTGGACAGCTAAGGTGATTACTAAAATGCAACCAAGCGATTGTATTGACATCACTTCCTGCTTACAAATAATTTCTTTGTCATCAGAGTGAAGTCCTAACTCTGTACTGCACTGTACATGATCTTTAATGATCTGACTTTACTCTTTCTCTAGCCTCATTTCTCAGTTCCCATGCCCTGTAAGTGCAGCTGTGTGTGTGTATGTGTGTGTGTGTCTCTCTCTTTCCTTCCCCCTTCCCTCCTCCCTTGCGTGTCCTGTTCATCCACCAGGGTAACTCTTTATCACCTCCACCAGGCCATCTGTTCATCTTTCGAGTCTCTCTTAATTTTGACTTCTTTTAGGAATCTTCTCCTGACAGGCTAGGTTCAAGTTGGGTGCCCCTCTCCTAATCTCATGGAACCATGGGCTCCATAATGCCAGGGACTGTGTGCTTTAGAAAGTAACTGGTTTCTTTCCAGTTTCCAGATGATTTTAAGAATATACTGACTGACCACTTTGTTTTAAAGAGCAAAAGTGGTCAATTTAAGTACAAGGCCAAACCTGTGCCATGACAGTTTCAGGTGACACCTCATATTTGTGCAAATCTTCTAAGAGGGGTGTGTGTGTGTGTGTGTGTGTGTATTTATGACTATCCATACTTACAAAGGTCATTATATAAGCAATACCTAGTCAAACTATAGACATACAAATTAAATTTACATGTTAGAAATTATACAATTTAGCCCTGGCTGGTGTGGCTCAGTGGATTGAGTGCAGACCGGCGAACCAAAGGGTGGCTGGTTCAATTCCGAGTCAGGGCACATGCCTGAGTTGCCAGCTGGGTCCCCAGTAAGGGGCACTCAAGAGGCAACCACACATTTATGTTTCTCTCCCTCTTTTCCTCCCACTCTCTAAAAATAAGTAAATAAAATATTTTTAAAAAGAAATTGTACAGTTTACATATGATTGTGCTTGTATATTAAAGTTTATTGAAATCTCAATTTATGCCAACTCAAAATATTAACTGCTTACTAAGTTCCCGTTAAAATAACTGTATTGCCTTGGCTGTTATAGCTCAGTGGATTGCGTGTTCACCTGTGAGTCAAAAGGTCACCATTCAATTCCCGGTCAGGGCGCATGCCTTGTTGAGGGCCAGGTCCCCAGCTGAGGGTGTGCAAGAGGCAACTGATTGATATTTTTCTCACACCCTTCACCTCTCTCTAGAAAATAAATACAAATAAAATCTTTAAAAATACCTGTTAGATCTTCAGTAAGGTTTTCATGAAATTATCATCTGTATGTCAGCCCCCTAATGCTACTAAATAAAGTCAGCATCATTCATGCCTTTTAGTGGCCTTTCCTTCCCAGTGACATTATGGATTCCTACCTAGTGATAGCATCAGAGTAAATAACTAATACATGTATAATTCATTTACTGAGGAAATAACACAGTTTATTGTTAAAGTGAAAGAAGTTTTTCATCTTTCTCTAGTGAGATTAAAGTAAGAGTTTGCTGTAAAGTGTTAATTTCGATTAAATTCTAGTTTGGGAAGTGATGTTCTACTGGTATTTGAAGCAGCTTATTAATTCACTATATTTTTAATTTTTATTTATTTATTTTTAGAGAGATGGGGAAGGGAGGGAGCGAACATCAATGTATGGTTGCCTCTAGCACAACCCATACTGGGGATATGGCCTGCAACCCAGGCATGTACCCTGACTGGGAATCAAACCAGTGATGCTTTTGTTTGCAGGCCTGCACTCAATCCTCTGAGCTACACCAGCCAGGGCTGTATTTTTAAAATTTTTAAATTGCTTTTTTAGAGAGTGAGAGAAGCATCAATTTGTTTTTCCACCCATTTATGCACTCATTGGTTGACTCTTGTATGTGCCCTAACTAGGGATTGACCCTGCATCCTTGATGTACAGTGTATCAGGACGATGCTCTAACCAATTGAGCTACCCGGCCAAGGCTTAATTCATTATTTTTATTCTCAGTATTTAATTTACTTTATTTTTATTAGGGTTTAGATCAATCTGAGACAGGTTATGTTGATAAAATTAAATAGAATGTATAAAACATTTTGATTAGAATTAAAAGACATCAATATACATATAATTTCTGCTACACTGGAAAATATTAAAATAAAATTGAAGGAACATGAACCAGTTCATAGTCTTCCTATTATGTTAATTCTTAGGAAAGGGGTGATTCTGGGCCACCAGCTCCTCTGTGTACAGTGCATCTCCCATTGCCCAGGGTTCCAGGTTCCTCCCCAGGGACCTGTGCACTCCAGCTGGCACTTGGAGAAAAACAGTAGACAGTTTAATGACCAGGGTGCAGAATCCAGGTCTGGAGGTGATACATATCACCTCTGCTCACCTAACCACCAGGGAAGGTTTAAATGAGTCTCCTTGTGTGCCCAAGGAAAACGATGCAGGATTTGGTCAGCACTCAGCATTGTATTGGCCACAGAGCTCTGGTGTAGAAACACCAGTGTGTTGCATGCATCTCTGTGTTGTAGCACAGTTCCCATTTAATATGCATTAATGAGTTGGTGGCAAACTTCCTATGGGCTACATAAATGGATAAAATAATATTTTAAGATTGTACAAGATTATATTCAATGCTTTGTTCTACTCTAAGATAACTTGAGATCAAATAACATTCTGTTGACCCATTTATTTAATGCTGCAAGCCATCATGAAATGCAAAGTCCCTTAGAAATTGTTTCTATCAGAAAGTAATAAACAGCAGTAACGTTGATAGAGGTAATGTCAGGTGATGTACATATTATAAAAAATTCCATCTGAAAATACATCTAGTGATGTGAACTAATACATTATTAGGCAAATGCAAACAACTTGAACCAAGAAAGAAATAGAAATGTGTATAATGTAAACAAAATACGCAAATAAGGAAATACTAAACTGCTGCCCCCAAAACTTGTGGTAAAATACACTTTGCCCTATACAGTTGTGTTTACAGCAGTTCTCTGCAGAAAGCAAACACCTACTGGAAGAGTCCTTGGGGAGTAGGGAAGAGGATTACTTTTAAGCCTCACTAGTAACCAGTTCTCTAAAAGAGAAGATTGCCAGCATCTCTTCTCTGAAAAATAGGTTACTGTAAGCTAGGTTGTTAATTCAGTATCAGTGATTACAACAGAACCCTTTTATTGAAGCAAATAAATTATATTAAAATTTTGTATTTAAATTGTATAGTTAACTTATGTATATGAGATTAAACCCCTTTCAATATTAAGTTATATTTGAAACTACTTGTTTAAATCATTTCCATTTATATGGCACAATAGATAACACCACAGTTACACACAGAGAGAAACTATAATTAGATGCAATGCAGTGATACAGGGACAATAAATCTGCAGGGGGTTAAAGCTCCTTTTAACTTAGTTTGAAACTTTGGATTAAATATTGGGGTGGTAGTTCCATCTCCTCAGGGGTTTATTTATTGGAACAGCAGCCAGGGAGACTGCCACTGTCGAACTGCCCTCTGAGAAGTTTCTTGAGGAGGATTGGCTGATGGGCTACCCACTTCAGGGAGCTGGAGGAGATGTTTCGTGGGTGCATGACCATTTGAAGAAATGTGGGGTGGCTTTCAAGGTGGACGTGAGGTCTGGGGAACTCTTTCTGCTTGAGCTTAGGTGCTTGTTTGGACTGCTGCTCTGCCCCTCCTAGCGCTGTGGTTCTGGAACAGGCACAGCCTCTTCGTCATTAGAAAGAGTCGTGAATTTTAAAATGCAGGTCAGCAAAACAGTGGAAAACGTTATTTTCTTCCAGTTGGTATTTCACTGGTATTAAAATTACTTGACAAATTAGAAGAACTCTAGCTGTGGCCGGGTGGCTCGGTTGGTTGGAGCGTCGCCTGGTACATCAGAGGGTTTCAGGTTTGACTCCTGTCAGGGCACATACCTAGGTTGTGGGTTCAATTTTGATTAGGGTGCGCAAGGGAGGTGATCTATCAATGTTTCTCTCTTCCTCTGTCTCTGACACCAACAAGCATGTCCTCAGGCAAGGATTGAAAAAAATTAAAACGACGACAACAAAGGATTGTGAAGTGCATTAACTAATATAGTCCTGAAAGTGCGTGGTGTGGAGGGTTGGACACTTTTCTGGTTTGTTAACGGAACCTCTTCCCTTTTACTTACTTACACACACACACACACACACACACACACACACACACACACCACGCTCTCTGGCCTGGTGCTCTTGGTGAGATGATTTGATTCGGTAAGACAAGGACTGACCTTGGTGCGGAGACTGGGTAAGCATTGCAGCGCATCTGCAACTGCTATGTGACCTGTTGTCGCTTCTGCATTTTGGTTGCCTTATCTGAAATATTACCGGTGCTCAACTCAGTGCTTAGCTCTGCGAAGGAAGTAAGATTCTTGTCAAGGGCTCAGTTCAGCAGCTTGAGACCCAAGGTAGACCTTTGATAGGTGGGTCTGTGAGGACAAGCCATTGGGCAGAGTCCAGAGAAGCTGTAATTATTTTATTACTCCCAAATCCAGTGACATTCTTAGCGCTCCAGGTGTGCGGCCGCAGGTGAGCGCCGCGCGGTTCCTCTCAGCCAATGAGCGAGCGCGGGGCGGCGGGGCGCGGCGGGGCGGGGCCGCCAGTGGCGAACCGGCTGCGGGGCCGCGCCCCGGCGCTCCACTAGGCACAGCCAGTCCTTGGCGCCTTTCCCAGCCGAAGAGTAGGCGGCGGCCGCTGTAGCTGCGCTGACACCCTTAGCCCTGCGCTCTCCCAGTCCCGCCCCCTGGCCGTTTGGTTCGGGAAAGGAGGGTGTGGAGGCAGTCCCGGGCCGGTTGCTGCAGTAGCTGCGTCAGGTGAGTCTGGGAGCCGCGGACACCGGGTGCCAAACTGCACGGCCCGGCAGGCGGGGACGAGAAGCACCTGCCCAGGAGCCGCCGGAGTCACCCCTCTGGAGTCGCGCCTAGCGTGGGCATGCAGGCGACAGCCCCGCGGTTCGGGTTGCCTGTGAGGACCCCGCCGAGCGCTCACTCGCGTCCAGCCCAGGGCGGGAGAGAGCGCGGAGCCGCAAGCGAACCCGAACCCGGCACCGTCAACAGCAAGGGCGGCTACGACTTTAGGCGGGTGGCGATCCGGAGGAAGTCCAACCCCTCCTACCTGCTGCCTGGGACCCCTAGGCCCTGGAGCAGGCCCTCGTCTCACCTGCACCTGGGACGGGCCGAAACGGACACCTTCAGGGTCCAGCCATCCGCGGACGCCCCAGGTAAGTGCTTCGGAGGGAAGGGGTGAGCAGAGGGGTGGCTCAGGGGAGGGACGCGCGGGGTGCTCTGTAGGTGCGACGGGTCTGCGGGCTGCAAAGGGAGCCGGCCGGGGAGGCTTTCCCAGAGGACTGCGCCTGGCCACCTACCTCTTATCAGTTTTGTCCCTTCCCCCAAAGGACCTTGCTTGGGCAGGAACACGCCTAGGGCTGAGCTTACCCTGCAGGTCAGTTATTAGCGACTTCCGGAAGTAAAGGCATCACTCTTAAAATAAAAGTTTGGATGTAACACCCATTTTCTAATTACTGAAGTTTAAGTTTCTTCGCTAAATTTTTGCTTTCGGCAAATCCTCGTGGAGGACTAGTGAGTGGGGGAGACTGATGTTCATCCTGGTCGCAGCCTAGCTCTTCAGTGACCTAGGACCAGCTGTCCCCAGTATCCCGAGTGATCGGGTTTCCCTTTTGAAGAGAGAAAAAAAAAAAGCCCTTGACTCCCACCTGGTGAAAAGATGCAAGTCACTTACAAGGAAAAATGTTCCTAATATTAATAAGTTTAATTTTTATTGGTGTTTTTGTATTGGCAAATTCGGGTTTTAGTAATGTGGTATTTTGAGTTCTGAATTCTCAGCAAATCTTAGTATTGGAAGAAGTCCTCAAGATGATCTTTTCGAGCCCACATCTCCTTAGCTCTTCAAAGGCATTCCTTTCTCCCAAGGTGAACTTGAAACTACGTAGAACACACTAGAGATACTTTTCTTGATTTGTAAAACTTTTCTTTACCATCCCCTTGCTCCTTTTTTGTGCTCCCATCATGCCGTAACCAGAGATGTCTTGATGTAGACCAGTTATGAGGCAAACCTTTATTTAAACAGCAGAAATAATAATAATAATAAAACCTTTAATTCGTTTTCACTCATTTTGTTCTGAGTTAGTAAAGCTGTTGTGATGATTTGAAAGTGATCAGCATTGGAAATTTAAAATTTTTCTGTCTAGTCCTTGTTCTGAAGCTGTAATAGTCATAGGGCAGAAAAATATGATGATGACTTACAATTGTGATGAATTTATAGCCACAATAGATAAAGCCAGAAATAGTGATGTGAGAAAAAATGTAAACAAGTAACTGAATTACAGTGCTTCAGGTCTCAATTTCCTCGTCTGCAAAATGAAGACATCAGTGAAAGACACTCTGAAATCTCTTCCAGATGTAGGTGATTCATTCTAAAGTAAGAGGAAGAATGTTTTCTTTCTTTGAAAGTGAAAATGCATTGCTTTGTGTTGAAGTTATTTCTGAATTAATTTTTCAATTGTTTGAGGTACCCAATGTCTTAATCAACTTGAAGGGAAATGGAATCCATGGTTTTTACATCCTTTTACTTAAAATCACCTGCTTAGTTTTGTTAGCAGAAGATGAAAGTGCCCTCCTGGAGGATGGAGTGAGTCGAGTGTGACAGTCTATAAATCATTTCTCCAAGGCAGGTGTGCTTATAAAAGAGGGTGTAGTCTATTTTTATTCAGAACACCCCCCTTTTAAAAAAAATGAAATGGAGAACCTAGCAATAACTCTTTTTGGTCTGTTATATTGTCTCACTATTGTTTACAAAAACTCCAAATTTTTGCTGCTAGTATTTTCAGGGTTGAAAAATATACTGTAACTTCCTGGGTACAGCTGTTTCTTTTTACCATAATATTGTATAATCTGTAGTATCTGTTGTAGAATAATCAGGTATTTCGACAGGTAGTCTTAAACTGTTGAATGACCAAAGCTTTATTCAATTTGGTGGGGTAAGAACATTTTAGAAAGTGCCACTCTATTATAAAGTTTCATCCAGCTATTTACCATTATATAAATAGAATCCTCTCCACATCAAAAAGTAAGTAAGGTTTAAATTCCTAAGAAGTTTCAATTTATAATACCTAGAAAAGTATTTACATATGAAAATCACAACATTCCGGGGTGCCCAACCTTTTGGCATCTCTGGGCCACACTGGAAGAAGAAGAAGAGTTGTCTTGGACACACATTAAATACATTGTGACATGTAATCACAAAAAAATCTCATAATGTTTTAAGTAAATTTACGGTTTTGTGCTGGGCCGCATTCACAGCCATCCTGGGCTGCATACGGCCACAGGTTGGACGCCCCTGGTAGGCCCATTGCATATTCATCAAATTATTATTTGTCCTCTTAAAGAAGGAACGAAAACTGAGAGGTCAAGAACTTAGCAGGGAATTCAGTTTAATGGTGTTGTGTTATATTCTATGATTGTGAAACCTGCTATTTTTGGAGTTCTCTGCTTTTTGGTCAAAAGAAAAAAGAAGAAAGTCCACCAACTGCATCCTCCATATGTAGTTGGATGTGAATCTTCTCATCTGGGGGAAAGAGAGGAGTGAGGTAATTAAGACAGGCTTTGGGTCAAATAGCACACAAGTTCTGGTCCCATTTTCATTATGAGTTGTGTGAATGGGACCAAGACTCTTAATGAATTTCTTAATTTCCTCGTCTGGACAATGGAAATAACAGTACTTCGTAAGACTGTTGGGAAGAGTAAGTACAATTATGTAGGTGACAGTTTGGTACCAAACAAGTATGCCAGATAGTGTACTAACAGGGAATCATTTTCCATCTCTGTGTCCCAAAGGGTCAGGGACTACCACTGGCATGCACCTAAGAGATGCTCTATAAATATTTGCAATACCTACTATTTATTAAGTGCGTTTTGTATAATACTAAGACCTCTGTTATGTGATGTACACATGATTACATATGTGTATGAATTTATTTTACAACAATTTTAATAGGTAGGTAGTATAGTATTATGCTAATTTTGCATTTGATGAAATTGAGGCACAGAAAGTTTTACTAACTTGCTTGAAATCATATACTGGTACTTGATTATTCAGAATTCAAATTCAAATGTGCCTGGCATCAAAGGCAATGCTTTTTACTGCACATCACATAAAGCACATAATTCCATTATGGAAAAAGAAATTCAGAAAGATATGATACAGTATAGGATATTATATATTATAGGATATTATATATTATATCCTTCAGATAGTATATAGTATAAGAATTGAAATTTTCTTATTTTGTGCTTTTTTTTGTTCAACCTTTTCTGTACCTTCCTCTTTCCCTTTTCTATAGTATGAATATCTGAAGCTCTTGGGGGTAGAGGAAAATCCATTGAATATTTTTTCCTGCTATTATTCAAGGTAGTGTGTTTTCTTCGTTACTCCTTAATGTTATGAGAATCCAGAAGGGTTGTGTACTGAAGATGCCTTTCTGTTGAAAATACTTAATTTTTTTCTACCTCCAAAGACTCTTAATAATCAGACATTTTCCTGATTTGAAGATGTAAATTTGAGTTCAGGGTTGCTCAGGGAAGGTCACTGTCATTATCTTCATTAATTACTTTAGGCTTGGTGTTGGTCTGCAGATTTACTCATCAGTCTGATCCAATGGAATGCAGATTTTGTTTTCCCTAGGTCTCCATTTATTCAAGGTGTAGCTCCTTCAGCGTGGAACACTGGGGTCTTGTTTCAGGGTCAGTCCTTTCCCATTCCAAAAGCTTAAGGTCAAGTCTCCCTTTCCCTTTTTAGACTCTCAGGTTCCTGGGAGGGAGTGGGCTCACAAATGAGTTTGCCAGTAGGGTTTAGGTTTATAGTTTTTTTCTTTTTCTCTTATCCTTGGGATACTTCTTTAACTTCTGATCTGGGCAGGACACTTAATAGTATACCTTTTGTTACTTATTGAGTATCTGGGCACTTTGTGATGGAGGACTCTTCACGTTATTATGACACGCAAGCTTTCCATAAGTAGAATTTTTTTTTTTTAGAGATCTCACGATGGCTGGATTACTCGGGTTTTCAACACATACTCCAATATCTTGAGCACTTTTAGAGGACTAATTTCACCTTTGTTGGGATGGGGTTGGGATGGAGATTTGGATAAAAGTAATAAGAGTAATTAGCATCCATTGAATGCTGGCCCTGAATCAGCACTAGATGTGTTTTACTTACAATTCTTATTCTTATGACAACCCAGCAAGACAGGTGGTATTATCACCATTTAGAGAAGAATTCAGAAACTCTTACCTATAATGTAGAACACTTAGCCTAAGTTTTAGAGGCAGGATTTGAACCTGGTCTCTCTGGCTTAAGTTCTCACGTACTTGTGACACTAGTTTTTAAGATGTCCCAGAGCTTTGAAAGGCAAAGTGAATGCAATAACAATGTTAGGGTTGATATTATTTGTAACATGAATGAATGCATATTATATTTCAAACAGTGATCTAAACAAGTAATTTATTAAAACATTATTAATAAAACAATGATGACATCAATATTGTTAATGTTTGTTAGAAGCTGCTTAAAAATGGACTTTGATATGGGAAAGTGCTTTAGAGGAACAAGAACCAGGAAGAATTTTTTTTTAATTTGGATTTCCTTCCAAGAGCAGTTTAAAGAGTAGTCGGTTGTCTTTCAATGAATAGCCATTCATTAGGGGTCTGTCCAAGGTCACTTACTCTGGACTTACAGGTTACTTGGATTCAATCCTGTGGGGGTTGTACTGAAATTCTTTTTTACATGCACTCTGGAAAGTTGATTGAAAAAGGACTCAAACATGATGCATTTAATTTTATTGATGTGAGCATAGTGAGATTCACTAGGTTTGGACAGGAGCTCATGAATCTGTATTTTTAAAAAGTGTATCAGATAATTCCGATGACTTGCTTGGTTTCCAAATGCCATCCTACTGGCTGCTTCAGAATTACTTGGACTGCTAATTAAAAATCCCCAGTCACACCCAAGATATGAGTCAGAAATTCCAGGAGTAGCATTAGAGAAGCTGTATTTTTAACAGGTGCCCCAGATGATTCTGAATGCAGCCCAGTTTTTAAGCCACTGTGCATTCCCACACACGGGTAAACTCCACCTTTGGTCCCGAGGACAGGCACCCAGGATTTGCGTGTGCAAGGCAAAGAATGATATAGGTCATCCCTCAGC